TCCGACGAAAGCAGACACACACAGTTACATACTATTAAATCTTACACACGGTTTTATACAGACGACGACACACAACTACCTTTCGTGACACTACCCCAAACTCCTGGTTCTTACCGTCAAGACCTGGCCCCAAGCACAGACCAGCCACGAACGACGATTTCAGACCATACTTAAGGCGCACGAAGCCCCACCCAAAAACCTCAAGAAAACGAAAAAAAAAACACAAAAAAAACTCCGAAAAAAAATCAAAAGCCAACACACAACCTAACACAAAAGCAAAGCCAAAACAACACACACCAACCACAAACACCCCGCAAACACCAAAGCACACCAACCCCAACCCCAAACAACAAAACCCCAGAACTGGAGTGATGTGATCCACTTTCTTAATGTTAGTGAGGAACCAGAGTAAAGACTTCAGAACTGGAGTGATGTGATCCTCTTTCTTAGTGTTAGTGAGGACTCGAGCAGCGGTGTTCTGAATCAGCTGCAGCTTTCTAATATATTTTTTAGTGAGACCTGTGAAGACACCATTGCAGTAGTCCAGTCTACTGAAGATAAAAGCATGGACACGTTTTTCCAAATCCTGCTGTGACATTAGTCTTTTAATCCTAGATATGTTCTTTAGGTGATAGTAAGCTGATTTAGTAACTGTTTTAATGTGACTGTTGAAAGTCCATGACAACACCTAGATTTCTGGCGAGGACTAACACTAAATATAGCCAAGTTCATGGAGCTACCAGCCACTGCATCCCATGCCATCTCCGTCATGTACTGGCCTTCAAGCATGGCTGCTACTATATTTCAAGTACTTTGCTAATTTGTTACAATGTGTGACCACTGCAAAAAATGGCTAATCTACAATTCAAACATTTTAGAAAATTGTCCCACCTCCTCTGGTCTCACTCACTGTGTCACGATGTCTCTGTGTTGGACAACATGCATTAAGCTGCTGTTATTCTCCAGGACAGGAAGATGGTGACTACAGCGCAGCAGATGTTACAGGACAGCCGCACTAAGATCGAGCTGCTGCGCATGCAGATTGTCAAAGTCAGCCAAGCCAGAGACGGGGTGGACGGCGCCCTCGGTAAATCTGGCCACACACACTACACTTCCTGTTTTGGCCTCTACCAGCACTCAAGGAAAAATACCCGATACTAAAGTTAACAAAAAATACTCATCATTGGTTGTACATTGAATGTACTGAACGATGCCACTGTATTACCCTAACACTGACGCATTGAGTCACCATCAGTATGTTTTAACTGGTATAACAAGACAGATTTGAACTATATGTTATGTTGATGCTCCGCCCTGCCCCAGGTCAGCCTGAGGAGATGGTTGGTGCTCTGGAGCTGCGGCTGGCTGAACTCCTTCACCACATGAAGATTGAATCGGCCGTAGCAGAAGGAGCCAAGAACGTGGTGAAGCAGCTGAGCGGGCGCAAGGTCCAGGACCGCCGTGTGCTGGCAGAGGTCCGTGACAGCTGGATCCTTCATGTTCTGCTTGTTGCTTAAACCTTTTTTTTGACACACTATGATACAAAGGATAATAATGAAAATGTTACTAGAGCATGTGGTGTTTTAATACTGCTACCTTTTGATTTCAGGGCCAAGTTTAGCAGCAAGATTACGATTTAGATTAAACTTCATTGCACAGAGTACAAGTACTAAGACAACATGTCATTTACATCCAACCAGAAGTGCAAAACAGTAGTAAAGTTGTAGTAGCAACTTAAAGTCAGCTCCTGTCTAGAGAAAATGATGAGTTGAGCAAATGTGCAAAGAAACACAATATCGATATGAAGTCTTTTAAGAACTTTGTTTTAGGCTTCCAAGCATGACGACTCCTTCTGAGTGCATCCTGCTCTGTGTGTGACAGACTCTCTTCTAGGGAAACATCAAAGATCATTTACATGAAAACATAAGAACATTTGGGACCAGCTGCTCGCCCTATCACAAGAAGCTCAACTCAAACCCTACAAAGAACAATTGGGTGTCGCAGATCTTTGGCCGAGGGCAAATGTCTTCCTTTCCTGTATTGTCATAAAACCCTTCATCTTACTCTCGTGAACACAGACCAAATGTTCTTCTAAGACATAAGGATTTAAAACACTTGAAAGGATACCACTTTGTTAAAAGTTACATTTCATTAGGATTACATTTTATTAAGCTTTAATACCACAATTGCCATGACAAAGTGCATACTGATCTTAAGTATTAGATAAATATTTATATCTGATCATTTGTTTACATTACTTAGAGTATAAGGCAGTATAAACATTACAAACAGCAGTTTAGAAAATGAATCCACTATTTCCTCTGAGTTCAGCCAGGTGATAGCTGAGGGGAAGAAGCTCTGAGTTCAGCCAGGTGATAGCTGAGGGGAAGAAGCTCTGAGTTCAGCCAGGTGATAGCTGAGGGGAAGAAGCTCTGAGTTCAGCCAGGTGATAGCTGAGGGGAAGAAGCTCTGAGTTCAGCCAGGTGATAGCTGAGAGAAGAAGCTCTGAGTTCAGCCAGGTGATAGCTGAGGGGAAGAAGCTCTGAGTTCAGCCAGGTGATAGCTGAGAGGAAGAAGCTCTGAGTTCAGCCAGGTGATAGCTGAGGGGAAGAAGCTCTGAGTTCAGCCAGGTGATAGCTGAGGAGGAAGAAGC